GAATTCACACCGGAGAGAAACCGTACATGTGTTCACACTGTGATAAGAGATTCAGTCAGTTAAGTTCACTGAAATCACATGAGAAGATTCACACTGGAGAGAAACCTTACAAGTGTTTGCAGTGTGGAAAGAGATTCAGTCGGTCAGTAAGCTTGAAAATTCATGAGAAGGTTCACACTGGAGAAAAACCTCACAAGTGTTTGCAGTGTGGAAAGAGATTTAGTTGGTTGGTAAGCTTGAAATCGCATGAGAAAGTTCACACTGGAGAAAAACCTCACAAATGTTTACTCTGTGGAAAGAGATTCAGAAAATTAGGAAGCCTGAAAATACACAAGAGGATTCACACTGGAGAGAAACCGTTCAAGTGTTCACACTGCGACAAGAGATTCAGTCACTTAGAAAGCCTGAAATTACATGAGAGGATTCACACTGGAGAGAGACCTTACATGTGTTTCCAGTGCAAGAAGACATTTGGTAGGTTAGGACAACTGAAAAGACATGAGAGGATTCACACCGGAGAGAAACCGTACAAGTGCTCACACTGCGACAAGAGATTCGGTCGATCAGAAAACCTGAAAAAACACGAGAGGATTCACACCGGAGAGAAACCTTACATGTGTTTCCAGTGCAACAAGAGATTCAGCCAGGCATGGCATCTGAAAAAACATGAGGCGATTCACACTGGAGAGAAACCTAACTAGTGTTCACATTGCAACAAGAGCTTCAATCAGTTACAAACTCTGCAAAATGGAGAGAAAGCGTTCACATGTGATCAGCATCTGAAGAGTTTCACCTCCACAACTTCAAACATTGGGTTAAATTAGGCTCTCCAGTCTCCGTGTTCAGTTCATTTCTTCCACTGTATCTGTTCACCTCCGGAAACGGAACCAACCCATTCCAGATCAAATCGACAGATTGGCTGGTTCTGCACACACCTCACAAATTCAAAGTGACAACATCCCAAACTTTATTTGACATTTTTTAAGAAGGATCAGAGCTTAGGTCCTGCTCAGCTCATAAATTCCTCTCACAAAGAACAAACCACAACCATGCAAGCAGAAACAGTTTCAAGACATCTTCTATCGATGGGGGAAAACATGTACAAGCTACACTACAAAAGCACAAATGGCACCATCTTTAAGCCAGGAGTACACACAGTGCGATTTCTGCTGTTGAACAAGCTTATATATGATTTCTTACCACGGCAGAAGTCATGGATATCATTGACGCTCATACGGTCATGTCTCGTAAAGCATGAATGGAACTTTAGAGCAGAGCTGAACAGTTAAAAGTTTGGTTATATGAGCCGATCCGTCAATCTATCTGGAGTTTAATCACATGTCAAAGAAGGAGGAGTTCCAGACACCCACACCAATTATGTGATTGACATGGACCAATGGCAGCCCAAATGTGTTTAGGAGCCAAAACAATCTCGACCAAAAAGTTATGAGCTGTTTCAAACTGGTGAAACCGTCTCAAAGCAATTTCATTAAGCATGACATCATTTCAGTTCGTTCTTCCATTTCCGTTTAAGCAATTTCTTTTGCAGGCAATACAACAAATATTATTTAATGTGTTCCTCATGATTTTTAGTGTTTTTAGGGATTTTTTTTGGTTCTTGCAACACATTTAAAAAAAAAAAGTTGGAACAGTAAAGCATTTATCAATTTGTAATGTTTCTATTCCTTTTAACAACACTTAAAATACATTTAGGGACTGAAGACACCAAGTGATGAAGTGTTTCAGCTGTAATTTTGTCCTATTTTTCCTGCAAACAAGTCTTAAGGTGGGCTACGGTACAGGGTCTTCATTGTAACATTTTGCTCTTCAAAATGCGCCACACATTCTCTATTAGAAACTGGTCGGGACTGCAGGTAGGCCAGTCAAGTATCTGAAACCTCTTCCTCTGCAGCCAAGACTTTGTAATGTGGGCAGAATGTAGTTCCCTGAAAAAGAAGGCAGCATATTGCTCCAAAATCTCCATGTACTTTTCAGCACTAATGGTGCCATCACAGAAGTGCAGGTTTCCTTTGCCAAGGGCACTGACAAAACCCCATACAATGACAGACCCTGGCTTTTGGACTTGCTGGTAACAGTCTGGATGATCATTTTCTTCTTTGGGTCAGAGTCCACAGCATACATTTCTCCCAAAAAAATACCTAAAAATACTGATTCTTCAGACCACAGTACATGTTTCCACTGTGTGATTGTGCATCCCAGATGCCTCCGAGCCAAGAGAAGTTGACTGCGCTTCTGGACACTGTTAACATAGGGCTTCCTTTTGGCCCAGTACAGTTTTGACTGGCATTTGTGCATGTAACTACATATTGTGGTACTTGACAACGGTTTGCCGCAGTAGTCCTGAGTCCATGTGGTGATCTCGCTTATAGATGAATGAGGATTCTTGATGCAGTGCAGCCTGAGGGATCGAAGATTGCAGTTGTTTAGCTCAGGCTTGCACCCTTTACGTACTGAAATTCCTCCAGATTTCTTAAATCTTTTAATGATGTTCTGCACTGTTGAAGGTGAAATATCCAAATTTCCTCTTCTCTTTCTTTTGAGGAACATTGTTTTTTAACATTTCAATCATTTTCTCAGGTATTTGTTGTCAAACTGGTGATCCTCTGTCCATCTTTGCTCTTAAAGGACTAGACCTCTCTTGAATGCCGTTTTTGTACCAAATCACAATTACAATCACCTGTTGACATCACCTATTTTAAATCACATCAATATTTAACCAATTTACCTGATTACCAGCCCTAAGTTCCTCCTGTTCCAACTTTTTTTGAAATGTGTTGCAAGAACCAAAATTGTAATATGTGTTTATGAAAAAGAAATCATGAAGAACACATTAAATTATGTTTGTTGTATTGCCTGCAATGAAATACAAGTCAACGTAATTTTAGAAATCGCAAATTTTTTATCTGCCTCACTATACTGTCTCAACCTTTTCTGATTTGGGGTTATACATAACATGTCTTAGTCATGTTTAGTGAGCTAATTGCGTTTTCTAGTGGACAATCAGAGCTCTTATCTTACTATTATCGCTCTTATTATTTGAGCCCTTTATTTAGAAAAGCTTTAAGGGCATCATACACAGGATGCATCGCTCGGCAACGAGTCATGCATTTGAAAATTCTAAACAAAGGTTTCTATCAGGGTACACACACCGGCGCCGCAAGTCAGCGGCTGTTTGCGGTGCCCAGCTTTGACTCGGGAGACTCTTTATATTACTGCCGCCCCAAAGAGCGCTATCTGATTTGTTTCATTTTAAATAGCGTGCAAATTTGCGCGTCTGGTGTGCGATACTTCTAACTGTCATGTGCGGACCGTGTCGTGACGCATCCGATGTGCGACCTGCATTAGGGGCTGTTCACATATCTTTGCATACGCAAGTTCGTTATTTCTAATAGAGGTGTGCTGCTTGCAGATTCCAGGCGCACCTAGTTAAAAGCATCGCCACTTTTCAAAATTCCAATGGTGCACTGCAAGCCATGTGACAAGAACGACCAATCAGATTCATACTTTGAATGCAATATACACATTTCAATAGATTAATTACCTCAGTCAAACACAGAAAATCCAAACATCACAGTGCTTTTACATTTTCTCCATGAATAAATCTTGTTTTATAATCCTCTGAGATAACGGTTGATGGTCGCAAATCGCTTTTCACACGCTTTTAGATGTGATATGTGAGCGGCCCCTTGGCCTTTTTTCTTTATTTTTATTTTTAGGAGTGATCAATTATATAAAATTAAGAGATTTAAATGTCATGTTATGCTTATCTTTTGCTTTATTATTATTTAGTGAAATATTTAATCCTGGTGCATTTGTGAGAGTTTTCTACAGTGTAATGGATTAATTTTATCAGTTATCAATGAATGGTAAAATTTAGGAAATTGTGGAGCAGGAAATTATATTACTATTACTTTTCTCTACTTATGAAACTTTGTGCGTGCCTTTTTATACAGAATTGCTTTGTAGCACAAGTTTATTATAGTAGCTCCATATTCTGTTGTAAATGTGTTTTTCAATTTGGCTTGTGTGGAAATTACTGCTGTTAACCAACCTAAACGTAACCTCATTTCTATCATTGGTAGAATAAATTTGGTACTAAATGTTTGCTATTTTAGGTTTGTTAGAATTACCTAAATGATTTGCTAAATGTCAGAATAATGAGAGAATTTTATTAGTTCCTAGACAGTCGAAAGTTTAAACACATTTCCTTGGTATTTTTTTAGCTTTGCTATAAAACTATATAACTTTGGTCAAATGTTTTGGGTATCCTTCCACAAGCTTCTTAAAATAGTTTGAAGGAATTTAGGCCCATTCCTCCTGAAAAGATTGATGTAACTGAGTCAGATTTGTAGTCTGTCTTGCTTGCACAAGCTTTTTCAACTGTCCCCCAAATTTTCTATAGGATTGAGATCAGGGCTTTGTGATGGCCACTCCAAGACATTCAGTCTGTTGTCCCCAAAGCACATTTTAACTAATTTAAGCACAATTAGTATGCTTAGGGTCATGGTCTGTTTGGAAGAGCCATTTGTGGCCAAGTTGTAATTTCCTGGCTGATGTCTTGAGATGTTGCTTCAGTATTTCTACATCATGTTCTTTCTTCGTGATGCCATCTATGCTGTGAAGTGGACCAGTCCCTCCTGCAGCAAAACAGCCCCACAACATGATGCTGCCGCCCCCATACTTCACAATTGGGATGGTGTTCTTAGGCTTGTAAGCTTTCCCCTTTGTCCTCCAAATGTAACACTGGTCATTATGGCCAAACAGTTCAATCTTAGCTCCATCAGACCACAGGACATGTCTCCAAACATGAGTCTTTTTCCCAGTGTAATTTAGCTAATTGAAATCTGGCTGTTTTGTTGATTCTGGCTTGTTGATTTTCCCATGTTGTCACACAAGGAAGCAGTGTGTTTGAGCTTTTCCTTTAATACTATTCTACAGTTGGTAGTATAATCTTACTGTATATAAAAACTTGACTTTCAAGAAAAGTTATAAAAAATTTTCTAAAAATATCTCTCTCATTATTCTGCTATTAAGCAGAACAGAAACACATCTGATAATCCTAACTTACCTAAAAAAAAAGTTTAATCACATTAACATCTGACTTTTTTAAATGGTTATGTGCCTTTTTATACAGTGTATGTAAACTTCTCGTTTCAACTGTAGATAATGATCTTTAAACACTGACACTAGTCTTAGAAATGCTAGTAATCGAGTCATTATTTTGACCCCCCTATCGACAAATGTGTGCGCGGTCCTTTTACTGACAGCAGCGTGGATCTTGTCAGAAAATATGGCGAAAAGTCCTACATGATGGTAATAGTTTGATTGCAGTGTTTACTTTTATAATGCCCACTGTTGCCAACTATTTTCAACAAAAAGGCGCTAAGCTCTGCCCGAAAAGTCGCTAGATTGCATCATATGTTAATTTGCATATTACTGACATCATCACTTTCTACCATGTCTGTTTGTTTAACAGCTGATGGTTAATAAAGGGATATTTATGTCTGCTCTGCGCTTTAGGCATGTCAGTTTAGCTAAATGTATTGCTGTTTGAATACAGTATATTATTATAGATGTGAATTTGCTGTAATCTCTCAGACGTAATAAACTTAGACAAGTTCTGAAACTCTCACGTAAAATATCTGTGACCTTGAACAAGAAAAAATAAACGGCCAAGTAAAATTGTTAAAATAGAGGAGAAGCAGATCGGTTTGACTGTACAAGGGAAATACCTTCTCACTGCCGGTGCTAAATCATTGGCCGTCAGCAGGCCCATGCACAGACTGTCCAATGGGCATGTGCAGAATATATTTTTTGTATTGCGGGGGGGGGGGGGGGGGTGTTTTCGCATGCGTACTAAAGAGCGGTGTTGTCGCGCACATACTGTAAACGGGGGGTGGAGGGTGGAGCGCGCGTACTTAAGAGCGGTGTTGTCGCGCGCCTACCGAAGGGCGGTATGTGTCGCGGGGGCACTTTTGATCATTTTTGAAGGGCACTTTCTATCCAAGACTAAAAAGGGCATGTGGAGGTTGAGCCCTATGTGTGCACGTGCCTGGCCGTCAGTAAGCAGAGGAGTGATCTGCTGTCAGACTGCAGGTGGGACAGACCGATGTACAAGGACTGGACCGCCTGTCAGTGCTGTGAGGCAGGGGAGGGGCCGGCGGCATCACCCACAGCTCGTTGAGAAGTGTAGGGACGGCACAGTATGGTCAAATGACAGTCTATAAAAATCTCCAATAACACAAAAAAGCCGCTAGATTTGCTGCTAGTCGCTTTTTTGAACATTTGTCGATAGGGGGGTCGGAAAAGAAGTTAAATCTAGCAACAAAGTCGCTAAGTTGGTAACACAGTGTTTCGCATGCTGGCCCCGGGCCATCAGGCAGTCCTTATTGTCAAGCACTGTCAGTACTTTAGGGCGAGGAGACACCTGGGATGTGCTTCTTGATACTACACAGGTCATAAACAAGACTTTCATTGTCCACTGTAAACAACAATTTGCAGCAGTTTCCTGTGTTTCTTTATTTTGTCCTGTTTATTTCTGCTTTTGAATTGCAATTCCAACAAGTTTTAAGCTCAAAAAGTGTGAGAAAGTGACTTTTATGAGCATTTCTAATAGTTTGCAGTGATGCATTATCTGGGTTGGTGTTGTATATCATGCTACAAACACCTTGTAATAAACTGCCAGCGCATGTCCTGTTATCTTACAGACTTGTTTCTCTAGATAAGGTTTCTTATTAATGATATTATTATTTCAAAGTACTAAAATGTCAGTAAAAGTCACTTTGTTTAACTGTAGAGTTGAATTTTCAACATCAAAAGTGAACAGAACAGAGGTCAGCATCCTATATAGCAGGTCACATCCGCAAATAAATGTAAAGTACGGAAACTTATTAGCAGATAAAGTATAGCTGTCCAGCCGTAATTTGGTTCTTTTAATAAACCATGTAACATTGGATGCATGCGATGCTGGCATGACCACAGTGCACATGACGTCTGATGCTGCTCAGGGAGTTTGTGCGTTCGCTCAGACACATATTAGAGGGAGCATTGCTCATGTCAGGGGTTTGCGTAATTCAATTTTGGTCTCGTGAACATCCTGCAATACCAGCATATAATAGGTTTTCGCATCTCTGGCTGTATGTAACCCTTAGCTAATGTCTTTTTAGCCTACGGCAGCGCAGGCTTTGCCTTCTGCTCTATGCATCTCTTGTTCTTCCATATAGATTCTGACTGCGCTGCAACAGAGCGTGTCTGATTTTAGTCTGCCCGACAATGGCTTCTTTATATTCAGATGAGTCTATAAGGGGGAAGATTTAGAGTCAAACACACAGATTGACCAGAAGAAATGCAACACATATAAGGTGACAGTATAAAGTTCAAACAACTTCATTTAAAGACACCAAAAATTTCTCAGCAACGACAATTAAAGGGAACCTATGATTTAAAACAAGTCAACTATAGTGTATGTGATGCTTCAGCTCAAAGTACCACACAAATAATGTCTCTAACTCTCTGAATCTGCCTCTTTTTTTAGGCTTTGATCATAATTGCGGTGTTTTGGTGACTGTCGCTTTAAATTCAAATGAGATTGTGCTCTTTTCAAAAGAGGGCGGAGCTACAAATGCCTGTTTATCACCATAGCGCAGATTCAAAACAAGACTACCTGAAAATGTGAACAGAAGTGTCTCAGAGAGAGTCAGTCTATGAAGACTCCAGTGTTTATTTGTGCTTCATCTAAAACACCACATTTACAGTCCTCTTACAATTGACAAAAGCCCCTTTTACACATACAGACCTTTCCAGAAAATTACCGTCAACTTTCTGGAAAGGTCTGTATGTGCCCAGGTAGCAAAGAATTTTGGCCCAGATTTGGCATGAAGCTGGCATAGCCGGCATTCGTCCAGCACTGGCATACGGCACATGTGGTCTTACAGGCGGCACTCAAGACTGGGCCACATATCAAATGTAGTATTTGACCCAGATGTTAAAAATGTATATGTGGGCCACGTAAGTTTGGCCTGTCTTGACCCCCTTATAAAATACATTCAATTATATTTGAGTAAAGAAAAAATTCTATCAATCAGGTCGCTTTAAGAAAACGCACAGCCGTAAAGTGAAATGCTTCAAGGGTTTTTAAAAAAACATTACAGTCGTGACACACCAACATATCTGGCCCATTTCAGGCCCAGTTATGGGTTATAAACTTGGCTGAGACTTGGCCCAGATATGGTGCACGTTTGCCTCTCGTATAGAAGCCAGACTTGGTCCAGTTGAAATGAATGCGGGACCAAGGTGCAGTGGAGGACAGTGGCCATTTAAAGCCAGAGATATACACACATCCACAAATATCTATGATCGGGAATTTTCCTGGTGGTCACCCTACTGAAAAAAAAAACTGCTTAAACCAGCCTAGGCTGGTTGGCTGATTTTAGCTGGTTGATCAGCCTGGTTTTAAAGAGGTTTTGGCCATTTCCAGGCTGTTGTTTTTGTGGAAAAAAGATTCTGGTCTGCAAAATATTCTAAGTCTTTAAGTCAAAGTTCTCAAAAAATAACAAAGTCTGAGATCTCCGAAGTCTTTAGGCAAATTAGTTTATTGTTACAGCATCAGTAACAAGACAGGTTGTTTAATTGTCTGATGAGTATAGGCTAGCACACAGTTTAAATACACTTCTTTGTCTTAAGACTCCACTCAAATGTACACATTACACACCTACCTTAGCTTCTCCACTGATAGGATTTTAAATCTCTGTGGTGTCCACCACCAATAGAATCTCAGGGTCTTTCAGGGGTCTTACCCATGTCCAATCAAGGTCTCTCCTTCCTGTTTCAAAAGTGATAACTCAGCCAAAAAGCAATGCTCAACAGTATATTTTGTTCATTATCTACTGAAATGTCAACTAATTTTAGCTGAAGTTCATAGGTACCAGGCCCGTGCAGAGACCGTCCAAAGGGCATGTGCAGGATAAATTTTTTGGAAAGCCGGGGGTGGGGGAGGGGGGTAGGTTGTTGTTGCGCGCGTACTAAAGAGCTGTGTTGTCGCACGCGTACTCATCAGCTGTGTTGTCGCTCGCGTACTCATCAGCTGTGTTGTCGCGCGCGTACTCATGCGCGTACTCATCAGCTGTGTTGTCGCGCGCGTACTCATCAGCTGTGTTGTCGCGCGCGTACTCATCAGCTGTGTTGTCACGCGCGTACTCATCAGCTGTGTTGTCACGCGCGTACTCATCAGCTGTGTTGTCACGCGCGTACTCATCAGCTGTGTTGTCGCGCGCGTACTCATCAGCTGTGTTGTCGCGCGCGTACTCATCAGCTGTGTTGTCGCGCGCGTACTCATCAGCTGTGTTGTCGCGCGCGTACTCATCAGCTGTGTTGTCACGCGCGTACTCATCAGCTGTGTTGTCGCACGCGTACTCATCAGCTGTGTTGTCGCGCGCGTACTCATCAGCTGTGTTGTCGCTCGCGTACTCATCAGCTGTGTTGTCGCGCGCGTACTCATCAGCTGTGTTGTCGCGCGCGTACTCATCAGCTGTGTTGTCGCGCGCGTACTCATCAGCTGTGTTG